TAAGCAGTAGTAACGTTTTGGACCATTCTGAAATGTCCTTTCACTCTAAAATAGGCCGTTAAATGTAATTACCTTTGAATATAAGAATATTCATAATAAGAATAAGAATAATATGTAAGAATAATGTGAGTATATAAGGTGTGGAGCAGCAACGATGGTCGTCAAACCAAAAGCTCCTACAACTATTTGACATGAAACCCAGTATGGGAGACAGGATCCGATGACCGCGACGTCTGATGCCTGAAATAAAGTTAATTTTAATTTGTGTTGATTAATTGCATTGTCAAAAGAGAACACTTCTCCCAACTGGAGGCCTGCTGAAACCGCATGCCAAGTGTTAAGTGTCGGAGCAACGCTTTTAATACAATTTGCGGGCAGATTGGCGGAAAATCGAGTGGAAAAGCCATGTTTTCTGCATTGCGCGTTGCGGAAGTGAGAACCGGACAGTGGCTTTTGGAGGCATAATTAGCTGCGCTATCAATGATTATCAAAGTGTGGCGTTTTGCCACGGGTGCTGCTCGAGTTTCGGCATCCGCCCAATCGCCCACCGTCACCAAATTGCTTTTAATCAACGCGCATTGAAATTCCGTTCGCATATCCACAATAATGTCGAACATTAGGCGGTTGGTTTTTTTGTGACCACTCTTCGCGTTTTGTTGTATCGAGCTTCTACTATCTTGTGGTGCGGCGGACATTCGGTTTAATGGTCTTTGGTGTTCCAAATTCTGAAATGAAATAGAACGTAAAAACATCACTCCAAGGATGATCCCTCAATTTGCATAAATAGCCGAAGAGGGTATGCGATAAGCAGGTGTCGAACAGGATATAAAATTAAATTGGTTCTTGTTTTGTTTTTATTTGTTTATTTGTTTTGCTCTTTCTGCGTTCATTTTCGGTTTCGGGTATTTTAAATTATTCATTGAAAACATTAGTAACTATGAGGACCCAAGATTCCAAGTTATGATAGTAAATGCATATCTGCATATTGAATTGAATAAATTCGAAACCTGCACCTCTTCTTCAAAAATAGATTTTCAAGAAGTTCATTCTTACTCGTTTTACTCGTAATGTAAAAGGGCATACTAGATTCGTTGAGAAGTATGTAATAGTTTATTCCTTACTTTGCGCCGTTTAACAATCAATCAGTTTATAAAGTCAAAACAAATTGAAACCAAATGAATTAACAACATTTTTTGGTGGAATTGAGCCCTAGGCATTAACATAAACGCGCAGTTTTGTATGGAAAATTAAAAGCTTCAAATAATCTCCCTCTGCTTGGGGGTTTTATTGTTTTCAATTTATGTTTAGCCCATGCCGACTACATACTTGCTAAATTATTTGATCCTAAAACTCGGAACGCCCATTTGTAAGGGCATCCATACGTCGATATAACGACTTAGCCCTGTACTCTGTTTTGTTCCAGTCGAAGTAAAGTATTGCGTATGAGTAACACAATGTAGGCCATTGCCATGCGAAGCACACAAAATCACGGGTTTGCGTTCTAGAAATAAGTTAGAATTTTAATTGGAATATGACGACTAGAAATGTTTTTGAGCTTCTCAAAAAGTGCGCTATTGGGCATATGGGTGGTCCTCCGATAGATTGTTTCCTACATCTTTCCAGCTTTGTTCATTTATACTAGTTTTTTCAACTAATTAATTGGGTAGTAACTTTTAAGGAGGCAATGAATATTTGAACGAGGCTGTTGGGCTGAACTGAATCTCTTTTAGCAAGCAAAAACGAGACATATTGAGTGCAGCAGCTTAATATGCAAATAATCCATCCAGTGAGCAGATGTCGCCACCTTTGAAGTGACGGATGCCAGAAGCCGCTTAAAACAGAAACTCAAAAATAGCTTTTGATGAGTAATCAGAATATGCGATCCACTAGATACTGTGCACTTACTATGTTTCAGCCAATGTTGCGCCGCGCACTATTTTGTATATTCTCCACGTTATTATTAAGCGAAAACGAATAAAAGCTTTTATAAGCTCATTTACAAATTAATTTTATGTTAATTTTAAGATCTCATATTTCATATTTCAACCCAAACTACTAGGTATTGAAATGAATCAAGAAAATTTTCGACCTTCTGTCCCGCAGTGCGTATGATTGATGCCTCGAAGACATCACTTCTTCTTGTGAAGTGGAGCGGGGGAATGTGCAGTAATTGACATTTGATATGCAGCTTCTGGCGCCTCCCCAAGACTTTCGTTGACGTCGTCGAGGCAGTGAGTCACGGGCGGGATCCTTTTCCCTCAGATTGATTATGCACCGCATGCCTCAAGCTGTCTACTTCAATTCTCTAGGCGGCGCTCTTATATCTGGGCGATAAAGGCGCACACGCACCCATAAACCTTAATTCCACCCGCCTTTTGAGTCTTCGAATGACCTTAAAACTAAATTGCCAATTGCGATTTTATGGCCCACATGTGTCCCCGGTGGTGTGGATATTTTTGCCGATCCAGGTCCGATCCCTTGGCCCAGTGCCACCCCCGCAGAGATCCACAGGCCGTCAGGCACTTGGTTGGCGCGGACTCCACGTCATCATCCAGCGATCGGAGTTGTCAGGCGGATGGTTCGCACGTTCCCGCGAAGATCCCCGTTGCATACTAAGCAGGGATCAGTCGCGTCTATGGGTATATCCGATTTTTTTGAGCCTCTCATTATGCTCGATGTGCTGGCCTTTTTGCCTGGCTCGTCGCGTATATAAATCTAACGCGCTGCCCCGATCAGACATCACTTCTTTGGTGGAAACTTCAGTGACAAGTTTAGCTCCTGCTGTGATCAGTGCGCTATTCCGTATCCCATAATCGAGACCCTCGCCCCTAAAAGGATTTAAAAAGCTAGTTCTTCACCGCCTTACCCGAAACTCAGTTCAGTCCGACATGAAGTTCTGTGCTGCCGTGGCTCTGCTACTGATCGCCGGCATCGTGGCCAGCGGCGATGCCCTGCCCGCCAGGAAAAGTGAGTTCGCCGCCCAGAGGATTACCCATTCCGCTAGCACAATCACCCTCTAATCACATCATCTGCAACCCTCCATCCTACGCCTCGCCATCCTACTGAAGACCGGCAATACCTCATTCCAGGAATGGTCTACCTTCAGCAGCCCGCATCCGCCGAGTGGTACGGATCCGCGCCCCAACAGCGCTTCATGTACATGCAGTACGTCCAGCCCGGCCGCACGCACGCCCGTTCCACCCAGGCAGCCAGTGCCCTCGTGGCCGGAGAGACCGTAGCCACCGGAACATACCTGAAGGGTAAGTAGTCCGCCCAACCGCCTCTCAATCCCTGCCAGCACTAACCACGCCCTTCCTAACCAAAGATTGCAATCACGCAGAGTCTGATGTCAGCGCCGAAGCAGTCCCAGCTGAGGACGTCCTCGCTGCCGCCGGAGCCCAGGGAGCCACCTCCGTGGCCGAGGCCTACCCCGACCAAGAGCCAGTTGTCCAGGTGGCCAACGATGCCGACGTGGTGCCCCAGGCCGAGTCAGAGGCTGTGCCCGAGCCCGAACCCGAGACCGCTGACGATGCCGCTAAGGTTCCACGAGACTTCAACTTCGCCGCAGAGGAAGCCTCTGTCGCTGTTGCTGCTGAGGAGGAATCTGTTCCTCTGCCCGTTGCCGAGGCCGAGCTGCCAGCCCCCGCTCCCATTGCTCCTGTGGCCGCCGTCGTGCCAGCGAACCGCTACCTGCCCGCCAAGAAGAAGGTGATCGTCGAGCTGGACCAGGAGGAGGAGGAGCCCCAGGCCGCCGCCATTGAAGACGATGAAGAGTTAGAGAACGCCGTGGCCGACGACGTTGAGGAGGACGAGGAAGAGCTGTCCGTGCCTGTGAAACCCATTAACCCTGTGCGCGTGCCCAACGCCCGTCGCCCCGCAGCCAAGAAACCCGTAAAGGCTGCTTCTCCTGCTGGCAAGCCGGCAAAGAAGCCCGCCGCCCCCCTGCCCGCTGGCACCTTCTTCCCCATCGACTTCGGAGGCACCAACGGCGGCGCCATTGCCATCGCCAACTCCTTCAGCACCGGCGAGGGCGGATCTGCCACCAGCCACGCCATCGCATACGGCTCTCCCGAGTCTGCCGTCCGTCGTGCCCGCCCCAATCCCAGCAAGTTCCGCCACTAATCCTCGAATCACATCTAGCTGGCGCCCGCAACTGCGAGGGCACCCGAATTAACTCAGTCTAAAAGGATTCTCCTGTAATTATTAGCAAATTTGTCCATCTTTGAGCGCAATTAAATAAAGTTTTCTGTTTTTAAATTTTCGCTTGAACACTGCCTTTTGTCAGTGGGAGAAATCCACCCGTTGACTTTCCTAAGCACATCCCTCAACAAAGCTTGACTGATCAGTAAAGACATCCAAGTCTACTAACTAAAGTTAGTAAACTATCTCCCTTGCAGAGGTCCACTCAAGCAACCTAGCTGGGGTTTCATTTTTTAATTACCACTTCCTAACGGCATCATGGTAATCTTAAATCTGAATTGCATCTAAGCATCTAATATTAGTGTTTTATTAATACTCAAGCTCACCATTTTCTTGGCAAAGTGGCGTTTTGATAAAAAACAAAGGGATTTTAAATGTTGTATTGATATGTGCTGCCTGAATTAAGTTGTCCCTTAAGAATCAGTAATTTTTAACTATTTTGACCTGGGACGGCATTACTAGAATCTGAAAGTTCAATTATTCCAACTTACTATCTTTAATAGCTTCGAGATCTCAACAAGACAACAGGACAAGCCGCCGAAAATGGCTGGATTGAGTTTTGACATAGGACATACATATGTATATACTTCATATGGCCGGTAATGCTTCCCTCTTTCTGTTTGTCTCGCTTTTAATGTTGCCGAAATTTTTGTTTGGCGAAAAGAGAGCGCTGTATCAATTAAGACTAGTTGACTATTATCTCATCATTTTTGAGCAGATAGAAATGCTCGGAGCGTCTTCTAATAATGCTTTCATATGTAGACAAAACCCAGTAAGCATCAGGTCACAATTACCAAAACTATTTTTAAGGTTTATATGCTCTAAATATTTGTATTTATATATTGACAACTTTTTCAATTCAGTTAAATGCCGACGTTATAAAGTTCAAATTTAATTTAAAATGATATTTGCTAAGCTCCTCAGCTCAGGAATATTTGCTATGCAGTTATTAGTTTATTTATGTCACACTCTTTGCTTAATTTCTTGATAAACGGAAAACAATTAAAATGTAGCTCAACGGAAATACAAATAAAAGCAAAGTAAAAGGATTTAATTCAGAAAACAGTGCACAAACATGCGCCGCTCAGAATCCACATGGTTACCTTCTTAATATGAACGGTGTATTTATGTATATTTAAAAGACACTACGCGTATTGTACAGCTGGCTATACTGCATGGATTTTGTTTCAGATTCTGTTTCTGCTATTTGTATACAAGAACGATATGAGGCATGCGAAGTGGTTGCTCCTCTGTAACTAGACTAAGTGGCTATCTGCTTGGAATCTTTCATAACTTTTGCATAATCGCGACAACTAATATATAAAAACGTTAAGATTAGACTGTTCTCCGACACCGCTGCCAGCGCTGCTTTGCGGGCCACCATGGGTGTTTCGCTGATATCAGTAACCGTACTTGTCTTGCCAAGAGGTCATCACGTCATTGGCCAGGTTGCTTAAACGACCGGCCACTTTATGTACACCCTGGCGTACGCTCTCTTTTACGCTTTCCACATCCAGGTCCGGTGCACTGAAGTTCACCGAAGACGCTGCAATAAATGCCCTTCAGTCAACATCACTCTAGATGACCGCTTTATTTCACTCACCTCTGTTGCCCCCACTGCCACCAGAAGGACCGTCGCCAAAATAGTCCGACGAAGATATGGCTCGCGATCCCTGGAAGCGGTTCAAGCTTGCGCTAACGTCGGCCGAAGACTGATCACTTGCGAAGTACTGATCGGAGCCAAAGCCCTTGGAGTTGCCGAACTTTTGCTGAGCGATCACGGGATCTGTGCTAGTCCCTCCTTTGGTGTGGGTTTGTAAGGATCCACTGTTCTTCTTGACGGGCGCCGACGTTTTGGGTTTGTCATAGGTATTGCTGGCAGAAAACATGGACGTTATATTGCTGTGACTTCCCCCAATGGGCTCAATTGTCTCATAGCCCAGCGCATCAAGTTCAAACTTATCCAGCTTGCTGGTGCCGCCAACTGAGCTCTCCCGCTTTTCGCTAGACCCTCCTCCGCTGCTGCTATTGCCATACAGCGAATAGTCAGTGAACAAGTTTTCGCTTTCCAATGAAGAGAGTTTTGCTTTAGGGGCGGCCGACTGCTGAATAGTCTCCATATCGCCAAGAGCGGAGTGCGCCATGTCGGATCCTCGCAGGTTAAAGCCCATGCCCAGACGCTCCATCTGTTTAGCCTTAGCAGGATCCATGGTCTTAAGCTTGGCTTCCTCGCGGGTCTTCTGCATGGAGAGTTCTTGGTATGCGAGGCGCATACTGGCCACCGTCTCCAGTTCCTCCTCGGCCGTCTGTGGCTTGTTCACAGGTGCTGCTCCAGCTGATGTCTTCATCTCGTTGGCCGCGTTAGCACGGGCCTCGATGTCTGCGAAGTTAGTCTTCACCTTCGTGGCTCCCAGGCCGCCCACTTTGCGAGTACCCAGCTAAAAGATAAGAAAGTTGATTAGCCAGTGGTTCACACTGCTGGCGTCAACACCTACTCCACCCTTCTTCGGCTGCACCTTTCGCGCACCTATGGACGATGGCACTGCTGCCGGCACCACGGAATTAAGAAGATCTACGCTGGGGGCGCCACTCAGTTGCGTTTCAATGCTTATGGCCGGAGCAACGATGGGTCTGTTTTGATCCTGCTAGAATAGTGTAAGTTAGGCATCAGTGAACGGCTACAAACGTATAATCAAAAGCTGCGGATCCCCTGGGTGTAAGTGTCGCCATACCTTACTGACATTGTTGTTCTGCACATTGAAGTCCGCCTCATTGTCGCACTGGGCGAAGAAGTCCTCCTCCTTAGCGGCTTCGTTGCCCTCGTTGCCCTTGTCCGTCTGCTCCAAATGCAGCTGGTGGGTGTAATGTGTACAACATGGAGGAAAAGCGGAATCAGGGGAGGAAAGGAGCAGGCAAAGCATTCAAGCAAAGCAATTGTCAGTTAGTGGGCTTTAATGTAAAATAACTACATGCACATAAACACAACGGCTGTAATGGACTCACCTTTGTGCCATGCACCTTCATGGCCTGCTGGGCCTGAGCACTCAGCTTGTCCCTGTACAGCTGGGCCGCACGCGAGTTGTACTTGACCTGGGCGTCGGTGCTGCTGCAGTTGTGTGCCCGGAAGAACTGCGCCGCGTTTGCGTTGCCGCCCAGTTGCATCTGCCGGAGCTGCAGCCAGGTCCAGTTGGTGTCCAGGTTGGTGCTGCGCACGAAGGTCAGGTGCACACCCAAATTGCGGTGCACGGCGGAACAGTCGATGCAAATGAAGATGCCATAGGTGACCGAGGACCAGGTGGGAGCCTTGGCAGCGCAGTCGAAGCAGGACTGCGGGGAAGAGGGAACGAGAGCAGGAGTCCTATTAGTCGTGGCCTCAAGGGCGAACTGGCGAAAGTAGGCCACTTACTTTGTTGGCTGGCTGGGCGCGCAGGCGACTGAAGACCGACTCGATCTCCTGCTTGGAGGGTCCTGCTGCTGGACTGGCCATGTCAGATGGTTCAAACTGAAATTTCTCAACTGAAACACGAGTAATGGTCGACGTTGCAAGACGGTCTTTGAGGCGCTTTCTGGCCGAGGGAAGCCCTGGATACCAAACACAAACCTTAGCTAAATTGCTTGACTTTTCAGAACGTACGTGGACGAGTTTTCCTTTCGCAGTACTTGACGGAACGAACCACTGGGTGCTGTTAGTTCACTCCGTGCTGTTATGCGCATTAGTGCTGGAAAGCGCAGCGGATTTCAGAGATGCCACGTCTTGGCTTGGGCGCGGACCAACGGCCTTAAATAATTACATTTTATTAGGGTGCTGGATGTTTAGCTGTGACTTTTCCTTATCTCCATATTTACTATTTTAGTAATAGAATGTAACCAATCTTGGAGCAACTTTAGATTCGTAAATAACTCCAAGTTCGGGCAAAATGTATTTACGTTAAAATAAATCCGACAACATATCATCACAAGAGCACCACCAATAAATTCGATAGCTTTGGAATTTTAAAAATGAGCTATCGCGTGCCTTCAACTATCGAATTCATTAACGCCAATGCTAAACAATACAATTAATTCAAACGTATGGCAAAATAATGAGAACTCAAAGTGGCAAAACAGTAGATTCGTCCGGTATCGGCTCTGACCATGGCCTAGCGAATACAAAAAAGCATCCCCGCAAGGTGGGTATTTCAACCGACAACGCCCCGTTTGCGTTCCCGAAGTAAAGTCAACAGTTGCCTAAACGAAATATGATTCCTCATGTATAGCCCCTGTGCCACAAGAGCAGCACGCACATAGATCACAGACGAGATATCGGGGACACCACGAAGGCAGATGTCCAGGACGAAAGAGTCCTTAGCTTGGAAGCCAATGAGCAAGATGGACTTGTGCAAGAAGTTTATATTAAGAGCGAGCCCTTATGCGAAGACCTGTGGGATGTTCTGGACGAGCTGGGGGACATACTGGATGAGGAGCAGGCCGACATGTCAAATAAGAGACAGGGCAACATTATAGATAGGGAACAGGGCGTCCGTATCTATAAGGAGGAGGACGCGTTTGATGAGGAAGAAGTGGAGGTGCCACCGGCGCCCCCCATCTCACTGAACGACGACACCTCCTTATTCACCAGAAGATCCAGACCAGAGGCTGACGTCTCTCCCTTCAGCTTTAATGGGTCTTTATACGAGTCGGGAGAAATTTCTTCAAGTGAATCTGCAGGGAAGAAACCACTTGGTAGTATTCATTTACCTGACATGGCCCTAGTGCGTTACCAAAACTCTTCAGAACAGAGATCAAAACGCCGCACCCCAAGGTACAGAAACAGCAGAAGCAGCAACTCCAGGAGCCCAACAAGACCTAAGGAAAGATTGGGTCCGCCCATCCACAGAAGGCGAAACAGTCAATCTAGAGACCACAGTAGCTCCCGGAGGCGGAACTACTCTAGGGACCAACGTGAGCAGTGCCGCAGAGTACCATCTAGGCGCAAACACAGCTCAAGTTCCCTGAGTCCAGATCGTAGAAGTCGTTCCCGATATGTACGAAATCCTCCAGTAGGCAGAGGGTGCAGGGATGCGTCCCCCTGTGTTGGGAGCCGTCACAGATCGCGAAGATCCCCAAGCGTTGGATGGAGGCGGGGATCGAGGTATTCGCCATTAAGTCGTTCTCGGTATCGGTCAAGGAGCACCTCTAGGCCAACCAAAATTGGGGTACAACATCGAATAGAAAGCAGGGTTTACCTGAGCGGTCGATCGAGGAGCAGAAGCAAATCCAAATTTTCAAGAATCACGCTTTCGAGACGCGTATCCAAATCGCGATCAAGGAGTAGGAACAGACCATTGAAGGCCGTGGCTTTCCAACGTTCATGGAGCCGATCCAACAGCCCCCAGAATCGCCCTCGGATTCGCTCAAAGTGTAGCTCTCCGCCCGCACATACCCACCAGCTGAATACATTTGAAAACAGGCCCAGGGTGTCAGGTATTGTTACTAGGGCAATCGAGGAGAGGCAGTCACTTGACCAACCACTCCAAGCCATGTCGCCACATTTGCCCGCAAATTCGCCGCGCCCCATTTGTCCAATGGTTACACTTCACGACAATCGAACTATCCGGCCCCAGGAGATGTTCCAGTACCTGCTGCCCACAACTGTTCCACAAATTTTCCACACGCAGACGCACCACACCCATACGGAGTACAGTGTGTATGCGGGCAACGTTCCCATATCCTACGGTCAGCCTTTTCCGCAGCTGGGGCCGTACGACCTGCGCCACCGCTTGTCCACGTCGCGTTCATTCTATTACGTAGGGCCCAACGATCTGCGGCACCGTATTGAGGAAATATACTCGCAGCAACCCGCCCTTAATGCCTACACCGAGTGGCCCACGGGGGAAACTGAGCAGTATCCCAGTGATTACTACTGAAGGGCTCCACCCTATGATTTAGAATAAAGATCATTACTTGCAGCACATATGTACGTCATAGTTTTTTTATTCTTCGATCAAGGAGCGGTCTGGTTGCGTACGTGCACGTAGCCTCGTCGACGACGGGTCAATCCAGGTCGTGGATTTTTGTCAGGCTGGACGTAAAATATAGAACGTGTAAAGTTGCGTCCGCAACACTTCATCGAAGGATGCGGATCCTTCAGCGGTGTATCCCCGCCACTGGGGACTGAGACCGAGTTCTGGTGGGGATCACTATCCTCAATGGATTCGGCTCGCTGGAATGCCAGACGGTCGCTGCTCATACTGAAGTCACTGTCCAACGGTTCCTTCTTGTGCTCGCTTCTACCGAAATCTAAGATGCAGGGGTCGACTAGTAAGCAGTGAGGGTAAGCCTGCCCCTGGTCTTCCAGATTTGTAGCCATGCTTTGTGCGATTTTATATGTTTACGTCCGATTTTAATGTCATGAATGAGAAGCTCTAGATATTAGTAGCCTGGAGATCACAGTTTCCGACAAACAAAGACAAGTTATATGGTAAACTAAGAGGAACTGCATTGAAAGATCGGTGATTGTACCTGTGAATGAAAGACTACAAGTAGTTCCGCAACGCTTAGTAAAACCAGTGTTGGGCAAGACACAAATTACTTGTACCACGGTATTATGCTAACAAAATATTTGAAATATTTAAATAAAATATATGGCTGAACTTAATATTGAATGTTCCCCATATGTATTTATGCACCAAGTTATTAAAGTACGCAGCTTAATTTATGTACATACAATAAAACACAATGGGTTGTTAGACAACCAACACTCAGCTCTGAAGCAAATGTGCGTCAGTGTTGAGCTACGAGAAAAGCTAGTATATACAACAAAGGTTGTTATATTTGGTCGTTACAAAAAAAAATCAGTTCATTTCCAAATCAGAATCCTGGATCTGCCGAAGCACCGGAAGCAGAGAAGAGAGTTCCATGAGCAACAAAGGGTCTCGCACAGTCCCATCCTCAATGCCGCAAATAAGCTGCTCCATTTCAACCAGAAAGCGCCAGTCTTCCGCCTGCAGATGGCATCTGGATTTACAGTGGGTCTTCAGACTTGACTTGCTGAAGAAGACCCGATCGCACTGAAGGTTTCGGTCGGATCGCTCCCGACAGCGATGGTTGTCGACATATTCCTTGGTGCAAAGCAAACACACCTTGTTCCTATCATCGTTATGGTTCTCCGTTAGAGTATCTGGTGTTCTATGCTTGCTACAGATGATATGCCTTTGTAGGGCGCCCATGTACTGGTATCCTTTTCCGCAGACGGGGCACACATGTCTGACCGGCTGCTCCCGCCGACATCTGTGGGACACCAGCGCTGACTTCAGGGGGAATTGCCTCTGGCAGGACTCGCACGTGTGGAGCCTTGTCATGTGCCTCTCCTGGTAGTGGCGGCGGAGCTTCCCGATTTGCCCGAAAACCTGTACCCCGGGGCCATGTTGGTGAAATCTGCAATCGCTGTGTGGACAGTGGAAGCAGTTAAACCACTGGTGCTCCGGCACAGGTAATTTGTGGGTGCATATGATGTGGTTGTGGTAGCGGACAAGACTCTTGTAGACCTTGCCACACCACTCGCAACAGAAGTCAAGCTCCCCCACAAGGTCACCCACGGCAACGACGGTGCACCTCCTATTCTCCATTTCGGAGCTTTCCTCTACCCATAGTAAAACTAAACTGAAATGGCGCCGAGCTACGGCCAGTGCTGGGTACATTTTTGCAAGGCCCGGCCAGTGATGGTAAATGGAAATGTCTTAGGTGTAGTAATTTAGTTTAAAACCGATAACAAGCAACCTGTTCGATTCGTCATGACTCAATACTCTAGATTATATAAACCTTTGTTGAAACGGCGTCACTAGAATGCTTTATATCCACTTTCTAGCTTTATATGTAGTTACCGACAGTCATATAGAGAGACAGACGAGAATATATACACTTTCTTGTACCTGTTACATAATTTTCAAAGAACTGTTCGAGTTTACAAAGTGTAACAACAAAGATGTGATGATTTCACCATTTCAATCATCAGCATATTCAGACAAATCGTACAATTTATTACTAATTTATTACACTAAACAACCCCATAGACTTGAAGCCTATAAACTTTGCGGCTTTGTGGTGTATACAATTCTTCGCCTTAAATGTACTTTAGTTTTACGATAGAGAAATTTCGATTTAAAGAAGTTTGAGTTGTTGATGCTCGACTATTAGCTTTATATACATAACGACATAAAAACAGTATAATACCCTAATTAAGCTGTTTACAGATAAAAAAAAAACTTAAAATTTAAAGTCTCAGAAGTACACATTTAATAAATGTCGAAAAAATCTTAAAAATTCCGAGTTAAACCTTGCAAAAAGTCGTGCCGGCTTTTATCTGCAAGATAAGTTATTCCATACAATGACAGAGCATGCCAACAGATCATTTTATTAGGTTTGATTGGAACACTTTCATTAAATACCACAGATTTTTAGTGAGTACCGTCACAAATTCCTATTCCATTCTTAAAGAATCGATAGTTTTGTAGTGATACTAGTGTTGCGCAACGCCGGAGCAGCCAATAATTGATATTTGAAGTGTCAGCGGAATCGAAGTCTGACAAAGAAACTCTATTTCCTTAGAATTGTGTTATGTTTTCCGTGAAAGAGGCCAATTGAACCATCCGCAACATTTAGAAGTAACCATTTCTGTGCGGTCAATGTATGTATATATACACAATGTAAATATATGAAATTTATTCGTGCTGTTCATTGGTTACCGCCTTTAGTCGCTATCTCGCTCGCACTTGCGCACGTGCTCGTCATTTACCCTAAGCCGTCAAAAATCCCGCCCTTCTACTTTCCACGCCCATTAAGATGGCTCCTAAGAAGCATAGTGCGTTCATGGTGTTCGTAACCGAGTGGAGGAATCATAACGTTGAGGGCCGCCGAATGACGCTGCCGCAGGCTGTTTCCCACTGCGGGACCATTTGGGAGGTAGGTTTTGGGCGATATCCCGACTGAACCGCCCTGGAATAACGGCAGTCCTTTCAGAAAATGACCGCCCAGCAGCGGGGTCCGTACCAATCAGGCGCCAAGGACGCAGACGTCGCGGATCGTGCTAAAAGGGAGCGTCTCAACTGCCACGGCCAGGGTATCGCCCAGGTGGATCAGGTCCAAAAGGAGGCCGCCGAGAGTTTGATGCACATGAAGCGCTCCACCGAGCGCCTCGTGATAAACGCCAAGAAGTCCCATGGTAAGGCACATATGTATTTCTAAGAGATTTGGGTTCGACTAACTCCAACCGCTGCCGCAGATCTGGAGAACGCCAAGTTTGTCTTCGCCACCTTCAACTACTTCACTAAGGCATTGACCACCGACGTCTATGTGCCCGCTGAGTTTGCGGCATGCGAATACTCGTTAAAGGAGGGAATACGGTCTATCTACAGCTCCATGATTGATCCTGGTCAGATCATCTTTGGGCAAGGTAGCGATGCCCTGCACCACTCGTCAACCACTCACGACCTGCCGCTGCCACCCAACGCGCTGGGCGAGAAGAACATGGCCAAGCTGTACCGCAACATTATTGACTACCTAACCAAATGCCAGGGAGGAGACAAGCCCTTAATCGTCTTTACCCCCGCCGAAAACATTGCAATGGTAAAGTCATGTTTTCGCTATTTGGAGTGCGAGGATGACTCCAAGGACGGGGGCAGAACAATCCAGGTGTTTGATATAGAGTACTTGCTATTCATATTGAAGAAGGAGGTCATGGATGTCGCTGATTTGAATGATGAGAAAATCAACAAATTTGTGACGGATGCCTTTTTTAAAAAAGACTTTTTCGAGTTTACCGCAGGGATTGCGTGTCAGGTAAGACTCTTACCAATACTGATGGCTCTAATTTTGACTTCCTACCCTGATTGCTGTTTGCAGTATCACGAGGATAATGATCGAACAAAGTACTGTACCCAGAGTATGGTGACTAGATGGGCGTATACCTTCAGTGATTTTATGTGCGGAGACCTGGCCATAACCGTCCAACCCGGAAAGCACATACCTGCCCACACAAAACCCAACTACCGTATCATAAGCTCGGACGCCTCTTCTCTTGCCCATGAGTCCTCCTTCGACTCTTTTTACTCACTACCTGGGTCACGGGTGAAGAAGGAAAACCAATCCGAAGATGTTTTGTTATCTAGCAGTCGACCTTCCGTCGAATCTAGCTCCTACACGCCCACGGACCACACCGCCTTTACCGCGGATTTAAGCAAATTATGTGAATTCCCCAGCCTCGGCATGCGTAATTCCAGTAAGCACCGCGGTCTCGACGTTAGTGCTCAGCGGGAAAGGAACGCAGGGGCCTGGAACTTACCGACGCATTCGCGTTCTATTCAGAAGTTTTCAGATAACGACTTTAGCGTAACCGGCGCTGATGGGAAACATAAAAACTAAGGCACATTTGATTTAAAAACATTGATTCCTGATAGATATTTTTTTTGTATCGGATTAAACTATATTGCTTAGTTATTATAGTTACTATTACTTGTATACAACCTAACTGAATTCGCCATTGATTGTTTCTAAGCCTTTATTGATTATATCGGACCGTTTTCTTATTAAATACATTAGATTTTTAGAATCACTGTGTTATTTGGTTGGACAGGCAGGTATTATATTGTTTTTTCCATCTTTGCCTATTTTTCGATATAGTCTTCCCCAATAAATTAAATTAATATTAAATTTTGGACATGTAGTTTCGGAGATCTCTCCGTTCATACGGATCCATATCCACTTTCTATACGGAATAGACAATTTATTTATTTTAGTTTCATCTGCTGACTATTTTTAATATTTTTTATGAAATGGTCAGTAAGGCAACAAATCCTCTTACTGAACTAACAAAGTGACTTCACAAAAACAGGTGACGTTTAGCTGACAAATTTATATATGAACGTCGATGGTATTCCATGGAAAGGCAATTGTATCCATAAAAACTGCTGCTATTAAAACCCTTCATAAATATTGTGACTACAAATTATTGTAGAAGTGTTGTATTAAGTGTTTTAATACTTTTTCATAGGCTTATTATGAAACAAAGTTACAGTGGCCTCCAGTACTTGTAGCTGTTTAAGAGACCCGGTTTGGATTGGAGTCTTTGGAGTTGCGCGATACTGATGCGATGCTTTGCGGATCTTGTTGAAGAACGAGACGAGTAAAAGCTAAGCTAAGGAGAAGTACCTGGCCTAGAAGCTCGCGCTGGTAGCGCTCTTGCTGAGAGAATAAAAGGCGTAGGTCAGCGGGAAAGTTGACCTGATTGTGCAGATTCAACGAGGACCCTGTTTCGGGGACCTGATGTTCCACGTTGTAATGTGTCCGCATCATGGCCGATATCGTGTCCTCGGTCGACACACGCTCAGTACCAACCAGGTGATTAAACAGTCGGGCGGAGAGAAAACGTCGCATGTAGTAGACGTTGTTCGTCTGGTTCTCATCGCCATCTGAGCGGGCCATCAAGGAGAAGCTTATGATTGCGGCCACCTGGGCCTTCTGGATGTTCACGTTCTGTTGATCTATGCTCCCCGGGTTGCTGCTGGCTTGCGCCATTTGTGGACTCTCCATGACGTAGCAGTCTGCCTCCGGTATCTGGTGAGAGACATAGAGGCAGCGGCGGGAAAGTTCTGACAAATGCAGCTTCTTGTCGTTCAGCTCGTGGTGCTGCCAGTGCGTGAGCAGACATGGATCTTCGTTGCTCCCGATCTTTAATCGTGCCCAGCTTACACTGCTTACTCCGATGCGTACCCCTACGGCAGATGCAATCAGCGGACGCTGTCTCTCGTCCATCGCTGGTGTTATAAAGGGTGCGACTCGTGCAGCTTTTGTCTTATTTTGTCGGCCTTGTGCAATGCTCCTACTGCCCGCCGGCGCAAGCAGACTCGTAAAGAACTTGGTGGTCACCATCAGTCCGAATCCATCCACATACAGGATGTCGCTGAGTTCCTGCAGCGGTCCATGACGGTCCTTCCAATTTTGCAGCTTGGTGGCCCTCGCCTTGGTTATGTCGTAGCTGGGCAGGATAATCAGTCTTTGGTAAAGGCAACATGGGGCTGGCTACCTACTTGGATATCTGCATCATGCCGTTTTCATTAATCGTCTTCAGGATCTTTAGACGATCTGCATCCGAGTAGGCCGGCAAGAGGCTGCTGGCTTGGTCATTTTCAGACTGAATAGATCTGAGTTGCTGCGTGGAGGAGAGCCGTAGGCATCTTGTCGTTACGCCCAACAATGAGTGCCGGCACAACATTTGTGCACTATATGAAGTAGATTTGTTGTTACTCAATTTAATTTCGTCTAATCAGCTGTTCGGTTAGTGGGACCAAGCTCGTGGTTTCAGTTTTCGTAGTACATCGATATAAAACGGGGTTATCGAAGTGCTGAAACAATTAATAGCAACTAATTATTATGTTGAAAAAGACCGTCATTATATTTTAGCCAAAGTATTTTATGAAACATGCATATTCCATGAGTTGTTTAAATTGTCGATGACTACAGGGTACCCCATACCCCATTTATTGGTGCTAAATCACACCGCAATACCTTTGTTGATCACCTCTTTTTCAGTTTTTGTCAGTTGGTCGTCTATAATTATTGAAATGGGAATAAACTTGAGCAGCCCGTAAAGTTTATAAATCTAATGTTCATATATAGCTAACTATGGCTAGGGAAAAAAGCTGAAAGCGCATCACTGCGGGCATTCTGTGCTCTCACATTGTGTTTTACTCTCACTGCGGGAACTGTAGTTCCAATCGGAACGTCGAGTGGCAGTGGTGCGTCGATTGTTGAGCGGCTGTGGCACATATGTGAACAATAAGTATCGTAATTTTAATTGAATCAAGACAATAACAACAACGGTCTCTGGACTCGGTTGCCTTGCCATATGTGACACAAAGCACACACATGCGCCCGTAAAGTGGGAACTCCGTTTTAGCGCGAATGCGAGTGCAAACCAGTGAAATTTCGCAGCGACAAGTGGAAAAGAAAACGGAGAAAGGTAGCGCTAGCGCCAAGCGAAAATCCTGGTCATGTCGTTGGAATTCGAGATCAGCAGCTCTCGGAACAACAACCCCAACAACAAAAACACGTACGGTCATGCGAACAACAACTGCGTCATGCAGAAGCCAGTGCCCGCCTCCTCCGCACCCGCCTTTCCTCAGCTGATCCAGGCCAGCTGTTCCAACGTCGTGGAGGTAGATCCACCAGACAGCAGTGCAGGGTCAGCCGGCCTATCCGAAGCCCCCTCCGCCGCCCAGCGTACACCGGACACGTCGGAGGACAGCGAATGCGACCCGTTTCTAGGCAATCGGAGAGCTACCCGCTCCTCCTCCTCCTCTGTGCTACGCAACCGGAAGCGCAACGCTTGGTGGGGACGAGCCCACAGCTTTCTCACCCGCAACTGGTACCTGGGCTGCCTGGTGCCCGTCTCCATTCTGGGGGCCCTCGTTTTTATCGGATGGGCGACGCGGGACTACGCCCGTCAATTGCTCTTCTGGATCGAGACGCAGAACGCCTGGATAACATTTGCTGTCTACATGGGGCTCTTCGTTCTGGTCAGCTTCCCCGTGGTGGTGGGATACTTCGTTCTGCTCATCACCGCCGGCTACCTATTGGGCTGCCTGCGCGGTTGGGCCACCGTGATTCTGGGCGCCAATCTCGGCATCGCCGTGGCCCATGCCACCATTCGCAGCTGCCGGCATCGCATTCCCGTGCAAAGGTGAGTGCTTGGCAGAGAACTCACATTTTGGGTGACAAGAAGAAGAGGTTTAGTCCAGAAAAAATGGTGCGACATGGTCATACAAACCACACGATCATATTGGATCGTCATAAAGCGAAAAAGCTAAAATGCAGACAATCGGAGTTCAAGACTTGAAGGTCCGTTCTAATGTGGAGTTTATTTATCTGTTCGTTGAGGAGTGTTAAATACTACGCACACAAATCCGAAATTGCTGAAAATTAAGTGTACGGTCTTTTAAAGTCCGTTGAAAAGTATGTAAATGATCCCCAAGTTAGTTGATTTGACCCTGTTTGCCCGTTCGTCTGCCGGGATTTTAGAAACTAAAACAGCTATAAAGTTAATTTAAACAGATAATAGTGCAGTATGCAAAGCTCAAGTTTGTTTTAAAACATCACAAGCCACAATAACGTGCGACGACTACACTTCCTAAGAATATTTGAGTTTTGAATTTATAAAAATGCATACCTACCGACGATTGAGAAACAATTACTTACTCAAGAAACATTTTACCTTTTACTGTAAGCGGAAAACTTTATGCGGCAACATGATCTATATAATGATAAGTGTTACAGAGCCCATATTCCCTTTTAACGACCAGTACATATTTAAAACAAGAGAGAATTCTCTAGTCGAGTTCCCCGACTATCAGATACCCGTTACTCAGCTATTGGAAGTGCGAACGAGAAATTTCAAAATTTTCCGGAATATCGGTGGAAATTGGGGAAAATAATAAAATGAAAAAAACTTAAAAATTCTTTAAAAGTGTGGGCGTGACAGTTTTGGGCGGCTTGCTTGCTTTAGAGTGCAACAGTTTTTAGGCAAATCTATAAAAAAGACAATATATATCACAAAAAAATAAAAAAAATCACATTTTTCAAAGGTGTGGAAATGACAGTTTGTGGGCGTTAAAGTGGGCGTGACGAACTTGCGATGCGTCTATGTATCGAGGCGTTCATACGGACATGGCCAAATCGGCTCGGCTTATGATCCTTTCTTCTGCCTGTTACATAATTTAAAAAAAGCCTAGTATACCCATTTACTCTACGATGAAGGGGTATAATTATTGCGATCAGGGAACCCTATCCTCCATAAGTCTTACTTTCTTGTATAAAGCCCATATATGTTATTACCCTGTGCGTGTGCTTCTTTATTCCCCAATGCTGCGGTTCCTTCGAAATTTTAAGTATTATGCATGGCAAGAGGTGCGTCGTGGTTGTTCCGCAGTGGCCACATCGGACCTGAGCGATGTCCATCTGGTGCTGCCAACGGTCTGGCCCTCCGAGCTTACCAAGAGGATCCGCCCGCTCCCAGTGCCCGACCTGATCGAGAAGTTCTCTTGCGACGCCCCCGGCGGCCAGTTCGCCACAATGTCTGAGTACCTGCTCAGCGATCCACGTCCCGAGGCAGTTCTCCTGCCGGAGGAAATTGATCTGCACCGGAAAATGTCCCTGGATGACCTTAATTCCTATATGCATGCTAAGGACGCATTCAAAGAGCCGCACAGAAAAAACCGGATATTTTCGCACGTTCTTGTGGTGGCTGGAGCGGAGTCAGCTCGTAGTTACCCCTTTCGGCAGAGGCCCGAGTTCCTCTATCTTTGCGACTGCTTGAGACCAGGGGCAGTATTGGTTCTGACCCGCAGCCGAAAGCGAAGGACTAGCGCGTTGCTCTTTCTTTCCCAGGAGGTGGACTCTCAGCTCTCCACCGTTTTTAGCCACATGCACAACGTGGACGACGTTCTGCCCCTTGCCATGCTTAAGAAAAGTTTACACTGGCTGTTAAGGGATCACTCACCCGAGTTGTGGCACTTCTGCGAGCCATCGAGTTCTGTCAGCGTTATAGTGCAAGAGGTGGCTAACGAGGCCAAGATTCCAGTGGGCAACCCCCGATACATCCTCCAGTACACACGCACCATCAAGACGTCTCGGGAGCTAAGAGCCCTTCGTCGGGCTAACGCCATTGCTGCAGACTCCATGGCGGAGGTAATCGCCCAGCATCTTCAGAATCCGCAGGAGCTGGCCGCATCATTTGACTACAAATGTCATATGCGCCACGCCCGCCCCGACGTGACGAAAATTTCGTGCGGACTAGATGGCAAAGGGCTGTGGCAGATGGACGCTGGATGCCAATACGGAGGCTACGAAGGCAGACTGGCCAGATGCTGGCCCAGCTCGGGGCGTTTCACTCCGCCCCAGAAAATGCTTTACGGCGCGCTGTTGGACATGCGTCGGGATCTTTGCTCGTTGATACAGAACGCTGGAAGTAAGGGAGCCGTGCGCACACCTCTGGAACTGCATGCCGCCTATTTAATCCTTCTGGCTCGGCAGCTGATGGAGCTGCGTGTGTTGCCCAAAGGCGTCAGAAGTGCAGCCGAGACAGTGGAGATGGCCCGCAAGTACAACTGCTCCCCAGTGGTCGTCTCGCACGTGGGCCTGGGAAAGCGAGACACCAGTCGCAGACTCCTGGACTATCCCTTCGCTCCTGGAAACGTGGTTTCGCTGCGCCTGTCCATTTCTATTCCTGATGACTGCTGCCAGGCCTACCCCGAGTTCCGGGGCATTCTTTGTCAGCTTGGCGACACCCTGCACATCCGGGATGACTCCGTGGAGTTGCTTACCGCCGCTTGCCCCAGCGAGCCCCAGGATATTGAAATCTGTGTACCTGGAAGTCGAACCAGGACCCCTAGATTGCGGAATGACGGGGATCAGAGTGGATCTTGTGACACGCGACAGTTGCATAGCTTCGGTGACGTCAACTGAGCGAATAAAATTGCTCATGGAATATCGCGCTGATAAGGGCAGTTATTCCGCGAAGTCGATGTGGCATAACTACGTCGTCCGCACATATAAATGTGTTGTATGTTTTGTATATATGTAGGTACTGAAACCTAATTTGTCATTAAACCCGTTCGCAACCAAGAGATACTTCTTCGGGCAAATGCCTCCTTTGTCGCTCGGCCGGTTTAGAATTCCTTATCAGACATTTAGCGCACCTGATAGCAGCAAGCTTACATTTCCGGCAATTACTAAACTAGGTTGCCCCTACCACCGCACCTAATTCATTTATTACAGTGGCACATGAAATGTCTTCAAAAGCACCACATTTATTTTACCTCACATTTACAAAGAGTTATATACACAGGACCACCTAATTACCGACTGTGCGATAGCATGAAATCAGTGCCTACCAATTTTTTTATGAGCGGCCGTAAACTGTTTCACCGACGAACGGTGGTCTTGGCTAATAGCCCAATAATAATGTCCTGATAATTTCAGGCTCAATAGAGCCTAAATTAGTACTAAAACCGAACAGTTACATTTAATTATGTGTAAACAAGGCAGAGCATACAGTATGCTTCGGAATTTCGCGACTTAACCATTTGAACGCGGACACAGTAACCCATTTCGGAATACCTTAATAAGTTTAGCTCCGAAGACCTCGAGTGAAGGGTACAATACCGCCTTCCATTTCATCTATCTGATGTGACCCGTTTGATTCCACCTTTTTGCAGGTTAATCAAGAATGACACGGGCCGAGCCATTCTCCGCGTGATATCTGGCCCAAAGGCTTTTCGAGTCGTTCTCTTCACCCGACTTACCCCCATTCCCTTCGGAGTGCAGAATGTGATATTCGGAGTAAGTTTACATTTTGCTGATCTAATGGTATAATGGTTCAATTCGGGTTGAATTCGGGAAATCTGGTTATTAATTTATTGTTTGATATTTCTTCATAATTGAATTTTTTTGAATTATTGAATAATTTTAGGAAATCATGCGGAAAATTAAATGCAAACCAAATCCAAACTGTATAAAACTTTTTATACATTTACATATAAAATGAATTGTGCAAGTTATTGTCATTATATATATATGTATATTTACATTTAAAAATATTTACTGAACTACTTAAAGAGCTAATTATACGGATAAGAAACCGCGTTTAAATTCTAAAATTAGCAGTCGTATACGATATAAGTTAATATATTCGTTTAATTTCACTGCAGTTCAAATTAACAAAAACCAGTTTTCCTTAAAAGTCATGTGTATTCTCCCCGCCTGAATCTGTCGTAGTACAACAAAATCGTGACACTTAATTATTTTCACAGATCAGTTCCATCAATACAAGAGACTATCATGTGGCCACGCTGATAGGGTTGCTGCCAGCCCAAACCATTAATGTTTACTTGGGTTCTACTCTAAGGTCCATGCACGAAGTGCTCAGTGATAACGAGACCAAACTGACGGGTTATATCAGCTTTGTGTTTGAGGTAGGTTCGCCTTGGATTCTTAGATCGTATGACAAATAGTTTTTGCATTGCTTAATTATTGCTGTTTAGTAAGACTTGTTTTAATCCACTTTGTGTCTTTAAGGTAATTTGTGGAGTGGCCTTGATGTTTTGGGTGTTGCAGAAGGCAAGGAAGGAGCTGGCTGAGACGCTGCTTAACGCGGATTACAACAACGAGGGCAAGCATCCCGACGTACAAGTTTAACAGGAACCACTTGGGGAACGGAGTCGCACAGGACCCCCAGCCAAAGATAATCTCCTGGACTTTAAAAGAAGACTGCGTTTTTGCATTAACTAGTTTAAACTAAGGTGATCTTCGAGTTGTTTTATTTATTTGTGCTCAAGGCAATGCCACTGAAACCAAACATTACACTAGCTTAAGGATACGGATTCGAATCACACTCTTTCCCTAAAACTATGTACGCGGGTGTAATACGTCACATTACACATTACTACTTACAACTCCTAAGATGTACATTTATAACTAAGTCTAAGCCTCGCTCAAAAAGCACTAGCTCTTAGACTCGATTGTTGATCATAATGCTGCTCTATAATGTTGTTCAATTACTAGTTTGTAAGCAAAGCGAATAAATAAGCTCTGAAGTACAACTATTCTACATCACCCTTGGGCTGTTTCTCCAACTGCGAGGGCTCTTACTCATATGAAACTTAAAGACTTCCTCCAGGGTTTCCAGGGCAAATTCCACGTCTTCGGCACCTAGGCATAGGGGTGGTCTCATACTTAGCACCTAAAGAAAAGAGAAAGCATTCAAAATTGTACAAATTTTCGAAATCCCTATAATAACGACACTCATTAGTAGAAGCAAAAATGTAACCTGGAAATCTTACATTTCATCTTTTTACTGGTCAACTTTACCAGATTCTAGATTTCAAAATGTAACAACAATTTAAGACTGTGTTTCTTGCTCCAATTCTTTAGAAATCATTTGTAAAGTAATTGTACAATAATGTTTGTGCGTTTAAACTTTGTAAACGCATAGTTACATTGTTACGCCATCTTTACACGTATTACATTTGCTAATATGTAGTGCATACTTTCAGTAATTTTGTAGTGCTTGTTTTTTTCTGTGACAATAATGCACAGGTGTATATCCACCTATAGATTCATCAATAATCAATAATTACTCATTTTTTCTACATTCCGAAATAGTATTTTAAAATGCAAGCCCGATTGTCATGGTCAGATACAGATTCAATACACAGAGATGTATAATTTTTGGAAATGTGTCGATGTTACTGGACCTTTTTAACGAGCTTGGTAACGATCATTAAGATAATGTGCCGAGCAAGATTCGATCGGTACGAATGCTGGTAAAAGACCAATAAAAGATTATATTCGATTTCTGAGCTTGGGGCTGCCAAGTAATTTAGAATTTGGAATCAAACTACTGTGGATTATATTTTTCTATGTGCAGTAGCATATCTCTATTTATATAGCCAAAGTTTTCGACTTGTTCAAGCCACAAAACAAATAAAAATGGATAGACATAATCGAGATGTTAGGGAATCCAAGAGTGAGTTGTGTGTAAGTTTGGCAAGAGCGTTTGAGGGATTAATATGGACCAAATTTGTACCCATAGAAGTTAATGCTAATGATGCAAGATAATCTGGAAAGCAGTAGGCTGAGTTTTCAGGTGTGGTTTTCCCCGGCCATTCCTTAAAAATGTAATGAATAAAAACCAATTATTTTAATTATTATTGAACAGTCAATGAATTAGGAATTTAAAAATTCCTTAAAAAATTAAAAAAGTCTTTGTTAGGAGTAACCACATATTTAGCTTAGATACATAGGTAATAAATGCAACTGGGACCATCCTACAAACGCTCTCTCGTGTAAGTGTACTCGTCTTCTCCGATCTTCGTTAATTATTTGCGGGTAGCGACTCCGTGATGGCCCGGGCCAGCACATCCATGGCGAACTCCGCGTCAGCCCGCGTGATGCACATAGGAGGCTTAATGCGCAGAACCTGCGGAAATGGAAGGGAAATGGTGCTCGGTTGGGGACTTTTCAACAGACAGGTTTTGGGTTAGTCAGACGTGCAGAACGAGGACAGACGAGCTCAAATGAGGATGAACTTAGCCCATACAAAGGCTCACTTACGTTTCCATGAAGACCTCCGCGTCCAAAGAGCACTCCTAGGTCCTTGCACTTCTCCCAGATGTCCAGGACGTGGGGCGTAGCCAGAGGGGTACGCTTTTCCCGATTGCCCACCAGCTCCACGCCGATCATCAGGCCTTTACCCCGCACGTCGCCAATGATCTCGAAGCGCTGTTGCAATTTGGCCAGACCTGTTAGGAAGTAGGTGCCCACTTCCAGTGAGTTGCGCTGCAGCTGCTCCTCCTCGATCACGTCTAGCACGGCAATGCCTACGGCGCTGGCCATTGGGTTTCCTCCGTAAGTGTTGAAGTGCAGGGCCTGGCCCAGGGAGGCCGCGATCTCTGGCGTGGTGACAACGGCGGCCAGTGGGAAGCCGTTTCCAATGCCCTTGGCCATGGTGACTATGTCGGGGACGTAGTCGTGGCCCTCGAACCCCCAGAAATGCTCACCGGTTCGTCCAAAGCCAGTCTGAACCTCGTCGGCCACAAAGAGTCCTCCGTTAGCCTTGACCAGTGCCGCCGCCCGCTTTAGGTACCCTTTTGGAAACTGCACCGTTCCGCCGACACCCTGGATTGACTCTGCAAACATGGCAGCCACCTTGCCGCGCGGCAAGGAATACTTGAAGGTCTCCTCCAGCTCGTTGTAGTAGGCGTCGCCGGCCTGGCAGCCCACGGTGCACTGGCATTCGCGGGTGGTCTGCACAGGCGAGTCCCGGCAGTTTGAGCCACCCCAAATTCCCTGGTACGGATCGGGGTTCATCACGTGCACAAGTCCGTTGTTTACGCCCGGCAGCGGAAAGCGCCAGGTGGAGTGTGCCGTGAGGCCCATGGTGTACGGCGACATGCCGTGATAGCAGTTGCGCAAGGAAAGAATGTCCTGGTTGCCTGTGTGAAGGCGCGCCATTAGCATAGCCAGATCGTTGGCCTCCGATCCGGAGTTCACGAAACACACGCTTTTGAGGTCACCTGGGAACTTGGCCACCAGTCGCTCGGCATACTCGTGGATCTTGGGGTGCATGTAGATGTTAGTCGTGTGCCAGAGTTTGGCAGTCTGCTCACTAAGCGCCTGGTTCACCTTTCTATAAACGAACAAAATATTTCATTAAATATATCACACGTAAACGTTTGCAAGTTTAAAAAAAAATGTCAATACGTGGACATATAATAATAATAAAATAGAATGAACATTATTATTGAAGATTATTTAATCATTACAAAGACATTACAAATGCAAGTTTAAAAAAATTTGTCACTACGTGGACATATAATAATAATAGAATGAGCATTATTATTCAAGATTATTCAGGATAACCTAACCAAAGTTTGTCCATGTATATTTATATTTTTATTTTACAATCTTTTATAGCACCCATCAAAAATGAAAGCAATTTATTAATAATAATTATCACAAAATTTGACATCAGGCATTATCAGTTTTGGCTCGGCATGTAATGCCATTTTGTTTGATCGAAAATAACACCATTCCGTATTTCCTGAAACCGAAGCTAAAATTCCATTCTAATTTCGAAATTTTTAGCAATCTTGTCCTTTTTTTTTGAACATAATAAATATATGTATGTAAACTCATTTAAACTCATATAATTTCCTTTTTGTGTAGACTAATAATTGCTTACGGGTGACAATGGCCAACGGACACAGTAACGATGCCGCCAAACATGTCCAGGTAGCGCCGGCCCTCGTGATCGTACAGCCACTGCATGTGGCCAGCGTGGATCACAAGTGGCTTTTTGAAGTGGGCCAGCAGGTTCGGCGTCAGGTGATTGCGCCGTGTCTTGAGGATTTGCTCGTAGCTGGAGCCCTCGTAGGCCACCGGCCGGTGGTCGCAGTCGGGCATCTCAGTTGGCATCTGGGTTACCATGGCGGAGGCTGCCTTTGAGTGCAGCGATGAGCTGGACCTTGGAAGGACCCGCCTGGTCTGAGCTGTTAGGCGAGAGGTGAGAAGGGCTCAGTTGCAGTTGATCTGGTTAAGAATTAATACCTTTTTTTTATTGAGAGGGAAATTAAAATTTTACTTTTAAAGCCAAGAACAATATTACTTTGCACTAGCACTAGTATTTTGTTGATCAGGTTTTGATACGTGTTCGGAGCAGATCCAGCACCTAGTCATGCGCGCATAGCTGTACCACTGCACCTGCAGCGCTCTTCGAGTCTCTCTTTTCGCCCTCTTTTCTCTCGCTAAAGCTGTCACGTTATCTATTCAGCTAAACTACTTTTGTAAGCTTATGCTTATATTTTGAAGCTAAGCTTTCGCTCACGCAGTCTGCATCTTTCCATAAACTATGCAATTCGCAAATTTAGATACTGGTGCAAATCACATTTGTCCCAAGCAAAAGAAAAAGGATTAGGTTGCTTATTTTTTGTGTTCTCATTTAAATGTTGTGCTCGATCTATGCCCTTGAGCTTCAATTTCAATGCAAGGAAATCATTAATACCTACTTAATATTTACATATTACGAAGGTTAACTCAATACACAAGCAACGAAATGAAAATCACACAACAATTTTTCGATTGCTGTTTAACAAAAAAGGTAGCTGAAAAGGCCATCTCCTAAATCTCGTAAATCGAATCTCCTAAACTTAATATACAATTGTTTAAGTTTTAAATTTATTAAAAATAATTCGCGAAAATGTTTTTTCTTGATTACAGTGATGACAGTATTTACTAGCAATTAAACGCACTATTTGTGGTTTCGCTAAGTGTACATAATTAAGCATGATTAAAGTCAAGAAGGAATGATGTTGCTGGTTGACTGGACTATCAGATAAACTATTCCCTCATTTTGGATATTATTTTTTGTGGCGAAGAATGATTTAACATTTGACTAAAATAATATAATTAATTTAAGTTACTCACTAAGAGTAAAAAAAGCAGAAATTCTTCCCTCCGAAAACACCAGTTTCATTCTTTTATATTACTTACTTTTCCCTTTACTGGCTCATTTTTTTGGGAGATGGTTGGCCTACTTTTCGATTGATCGGAAGAAGCTCACAGCAGATTTTCGTGCAGTGCACTACGTGAACTGCCGTGACTTATTAATACATTCTTTACTGAAAATTCAAGATATCCTAAAATGTTCTCGTTTGGTCAGAAACAAAATATTTGTTCTCTCTAGTTGTAAATAAAGTTTTATCAATACTATTACTGATCATTAACGCTATTACTGATCAAGAACGCATTTTTTTACTAAAATAACACCAAGTAATTAATATTATTCCGTATTCAAATAAACAAATTGATTACTTACTTTTAGCGGGCATCAATTTATCAGACGTTTGTCTAAAACATGTTTATTTTCACAACTGGCGAGGTTGCACTGTTGATATGGGTATAATTTGAACTAAAACGCAATTTTCTATTAATCTTGTGTTTGCTCGGCGTACTAACTAAATCGGAAACGTGTGCTGACTGCACTTGCCCACGTGTGGTTGGCTTCTAGTTTTGAACTATACACAATACACAAAATAGGGTCATTGGCCGGGAATTGTTCTCCAATTGTCCGTATCCAGCTTCAAATGCGCAATTGGTACCCCAACTGGGTTGTTTATTAGGAGTGAACAGATCTACGCAATTCAACTGATAAGAACTGGCCCCCTGCCAACAGCCTAGGCCACTCGTATTTATAGTGAGATTGGGACCAGCTTTGGACTGCCAGCCACCTGTCAAATTAAAAACTCCTCTTATCATCATCCTTATCTGAACAAACACTAAATTTAACCAAACGTGGCGGACCAACCATAAAGTTGTTTATAAATACTTTTAGAGGGAATCATTATTATTTCAGGTCTAAGCAATTGCATCTATGATCACCTGTTTAACTCCTGGTTTGATGTGTTCAAATTACGGTTCCGAAAAAGTGGAAAAACCATATATGTATATAATTTCATATCTCCAATCTCAGATGAGATATGTTTTTTTATTTTACATGTGAGGAACAATTCCATTTCCCAATAAATTATATACATATATGTAGGGTGCACCAGGTGACAAAAGAATTCAAACGTATTAAACTGCAGTAAACTTACCCAATAGTCGCTTGCACATCATTTTTAGTTTCTGATGATTTTTTACGTTCTTATCACTTTTTGATGTATTTGAATTTTTTTTTGGTTTGAATGAACTATTTCAACTCGAATCAACTGTGCGCCACGTGTTCTTCGCGAGGGCAGTCGTCCACCAGTAACGGCGGTGGTGGATCAACTGATTGGCGAACACAATCCGATTGCAGTGCCCGTGGAGAAAGCTCGATCAACGGAGAGCTTTGGCCTCTGTTGTCGGATTGGAGAGCAAAGTCAAGGCCGCGGATAAGCGCTCTCTTTGTCCCAAGGGGTATTGTTTGGGAGGCGATTGGAGGTGTTTTACACTGTAGGTAAACTGTTTGTTTTCTCATAATAATTTATTTCAATTCTTGCTTGCTACGTACTGAAGCACAAACTACTGAAGTGCACAGGTAATCCTTTGTTCTTAACAAAAAATATATCGCATTTGCGCTTCCTTTTAATCGCTGTGTGGTACGTCCTGTCCCGGATTAGATTCGCATTTTTATGGAGTGGCTGGCATTTAGCAGCTGATATTAGTTAGTTCCTTTAATATGCTACATCGATTTATCAAGTATGAATTATATATTTTGCTTTATCAACCAACATCACGAGTTTGCGCTTTGATTCTCACATTGCCCATCCCTTACCGTATTTTCCCCACCATATAAACCCAATGCAACAGATAATACGGAAACATAAAATGTTCGCGGGGTCATCTAAAAACAAGCTCTATGCGAAGTCGTGGGATACAGTGTTTACACAAAGGCCAATATCCTATCTTCGTATGTAACGTCCACTTTAAAGACATCATCCCGGGGATTTCAGTTAAAGTCAGTGTACAGGTCAGGACTTCTGGGCGCTGCTGTTGGCTGGGCCGGTTGCTCGAGGCTAGCTGCCATCTGACGCAGATTTTCCACGCCAGTTAGCAATTGCCTGCAAGGTTTGAATTATAGTAACCCTGTTTGTTACTCATCAGCTGTTAGTACGGCTTACCTCAGGTTCTGTTCAGCTGTATCAGCCGCTCGCAGTAGATCCCTAGACAAATGGTGTGTTATGGACGGTCGTTGTGCGCTGATTCCGCTGCTGGTGGAGCTCTCACTGCCCCTAGCAGGTGTCGCTAATGGAACTCCTCCAGTGGCGCAATTAGAACTTCCACCGCCTCTTAGAGAGCTAAGTTCCGCCTAAAATAAAAATAATAAAAAATATGTTAGAATTGGCAAATTGCGAATATGGCTTTAAAATTTTCCGAAATTTGACAAAATAGATCCCGGGCTTAAAAAATATATGTTAACAAAAAGCTGCGAACTTGTGACAACGCTAATTCTGCCAGATCTTTTCTATGATATTCGCCATTGTGAGTATGAGGTCATAGCACTTTTGAACTTTCGTGCATTATATTACCGATTCGGCTACTCACCTCTAGTTGGGCCAGCTGCCGCCGTAGATGCTGCGTAGTTTGTGTATTGGTCGTCGTGGCCAGGGCCTCCCGGCGCCGCGACGCCTCTGAATGTTGCAGCAGCTGCTGCTCAAATTCGCTGGCCCGTCTGGTCTGGATATTAAGTTCTGCACGAGCTTCCTGGAGCTCCCGTTGTAGACGTTCATTTTCCTGTCTCAGTGTTGACAGTTGCAACGTACCTTCCGCCTCCTGGGGAGGCGAGTCAATGGAGTTTGATGGCAGCCCGATAGCTACGTCAGCTAGTCGCTGAGACGAGTGAATTATGGAACCGTCGGACAGAAAGTCGGGCAGCATTTTGACGGTAGAACCGGCGGCTGGTTCGCCGGTCGGACCAGGGAGTGCGGCAGCACTGGAGCCTCTGGCTGCGTTCAAAGTCGGTAGAAGTCCCACTGCTCCGCTCGATGCTTCAGCTCCTCCCAGAGGCGAGTTTGGCGGAGAGCACAGGGCATCCTGACCGGCGCACCAAGCATCTGGCAAGTGATCCTGCACGAAGTCTGGCAAGGCTGATGCTGAAGCAGCGCCTCCACTGGCTCCGCCACCCGCTGCGTTACATGTGTCCAGGGGCAGGTCAATTTTCATCTTGGTGCCGGCGGACAGCACAAGTCTGGTGGGGCGTTGGTCGCGGTTTCCCGACGGCCGACGGCGAGGGGATGACGAAGGGCACGGCAAATGGGGAGGCATATCGTAGTTGGAGTACGAGCGTGGAACGTAGCGCGAACCAACAGCGGGTTGCTGGTTGGAACCGGATGGAAAAATATCTGACCATAAAAAGATAAGTGAATGGGAGAAACAAATTGGAAGCCGTATTTCAAGCTCACCGTCGTCTATTCTTTCATCGTAATGCCTGTTTGTGTTGCGCACCTGGGCCAGAGCCACGTGGTCGTCATCGTCGTTGTCCAGAGCGTCCTGAACAGCGTCGTGGCCCAGTCGAAGATCTGTTCTCAAGCGGTGAGACTGGGACCCGCCGCTGCTACTGGTGCCGCCTACCCCACATTCTGCGTACTCCGCCAGACTCGCCTGCGAGTCAAAACTACTGAAGCGCGGAGATCGCTTCATCCTGGAGGATGCACTGCTGCCGTTCACATCAGACGGCTGCATATGAGAGGCAGAGGCTGACTGGGGTACCTTCGGTCGGGCACCCGTTGACGTCTGCACGGCGGCCGAGGTCACCGTGCTAGTCGGAGCGGTCACCGTTCCGGTACTGCTGAGAAAATGTTTAAAGGAGAACGATGACGATGACGAGGAAGCTGCTGCCGGTCCCGCTCCTCCCGCGGATGTGGAGGTCCGTATGCTGGGGAAGTCCGCTCCGCGGCCGTTTATGCACACGTCTGCCACAAGATCGTTTACCACCAGAGCGGCGGGCGCAGACTCTTTGGAGCCCATCGTCGTTTCGGTAAAGAGGGCTTGCTGCGCCGCTTGAGGAATCCTCTGCTGCGGGTTGGCCGTGGCCGCCGCTTCGGTCGCACTCCCATTTGCCATTTAATTGTAAACGCGGACAAGGAGCGGTGGACCGTTCTGGTTGCCGGTTGCCTTACTATGTGTCGGCCAATGTGGGCGGTTTGTGAACGTCTTACTGTCTGTAGCCCGTGCTGTTTCACTGCCTCCAGTACTCGCGTTCTCTCCTGACTCAGTTATTTTCGCATCCCATTTTTCCCTGCGACTTTTCACTTGGGGCTATTTCTGCAGTGTTGCAAAATCGACAGAAGCTGTGTAGCGACTTACAACACTGGCTGAGGGATGCATCACGAGCTATCGATTGGCCCAGAGGCAAATTTCATATATTTTAATCAGGGGAAGCCCGGAAAGATCAAATACGTGAATAAACATTTCTCGGACTTGCACAAGGACTAAGGCGCCCTTAATCAACTTAAAACAGATTCACTAGTTATTAATTAACGTAAAATTTATAAGAAATATATGTATATTTATTTTACTTGATAGAGCCGATAAATTCATTCAATAAATTTGCTTTTTAATTATAATCTATAAACAGTGCCCTGCGTTACTGATATTTGGCCTTGCTTCATATCAGAACTGATGCGATAAACAGCTGGTGCAATTCTTGAGTTTTGTAAATGCCGAATTATCGAGATGTGTAAGTTATCGATAGAAAGATCGGTTCAGTAGGGAAAACATTGAACATCCCTATCATTTCGCTATGGCATACGCAGTACTGTCAATAGCCCCGCGTCCAGTGTTAGTAAACGCGGTCAGTCCAGCCATAGTAAACAAAACGCGACGTTCGGTTCGCTGCGCATTTTTAATGCAATAAAAGCGAAAGGATAGCAGAAATCACGCAACTGCCGTTGCCCTTCCATATTTAGCATTAAATGTGGCATTTACCGTTATCTATCGAGGTCCGACTGCACGTCATTAAAGTGTGTTCTTGTCCAGCCTTTGAGGAAAGAAAAATCTGCGTAGCAAACAAACCGGTCGGTGCTCTTGTACATACATTGTATATACACTATACACACAGGCAAGTTCAGACGCGTACATGGCCGAGGAAAAAGCGTCGCAGTGCATTTTGTGTGGCAAATTAATTGCGCCGAGGGCCTCGAAAAACGGTGATTGCTTGCCGAGTTCTTAATTTTTGGTGTCCATATGCAACCGCTCTGCCAAGCCTCTGCCGCGGGGGTGAGGGTGCGTCCATGTGAGCGTGCATCTGCGTGCGTGAGAGTGCGAGTGTGAAGGTGGTGCGCTGAAACTTCGCGTATTGTGAATTGCCGTGAAAACACACTCAAACAAAACCGCCCGCCCACTGGAGCACCCCTCCTGCTCCAACAAAAACATCAGCGGCGTGTGTTCCACTTTCGGCTGTCCTGATTTCGCTGCAGCGCTGCCGGGAGAGCAACTTCTTTGGGGGCGTTTTCCTCGTCCTGCCGCAAGTCCTGGGAGCGAAGCAGCCGATCGAAGGACTCCTGCCAGGGACAATTGCAGCATGCTCGGGAGCTGCGACAGGTAAGCGCCTTGGAGTCGGTTCCAATTGGACACGCTTCCAAATCCGATTGGGGAAAACAGCTATTCTGTGGCCACGGCCCCATTTATTGACTCTCTCGTCCTCTCTCCGTTTTACCCCGGTTGACTTCTTTGCTGGCCTCTTGGCTTTTCCCCTGCATTTCCACACTCGTCGGCCTTTGAGTTTCTTTTACCTTGCACAGTGGAACTTAAAATAAAAAAGGTGATACAAATTCGAGATTCGATTCCTATTTAAACAAACATATCCGTTTCCTGGTCTCTCTTATTATGTTAATGTTCAAATAACATAAATATCTACCTGAATACCATTTTGCAATACGACAGTGATAGTCCCCCTCGTAAGTTTAAAAAGAAAACGACTTTCAGATGCACAGCTAATGCGCTCTAGTTTTTATAGTTCCGAAGGTCTCGACTTGGATACGGATGGACACGCGCAAATTTACAGATGGAATTTAAATATGTACTATAAAGGGTCGATATCTCGTATTTTTATTGCTCTACAAGTAACGGGTGTTAAAATTTGTATAATTCGGAAGAATATCATCAAAATATGTCATTAAGCCCCTCTAAGGGAGGTAAATGTTCATGCTTATAATATGATAACGGTTATCGTAATTTCATAAATTGATTACTACCAATATTTGAAATGTGTTTTTTCCCTTCATTGGAATCTGATTTCACTCCACTGTGCGCCCGGCCTTAGCGTTTCTCGTCTGTCATTGCTGCCTCTGCTTTTTCTTCTTTTTGCTCCGTTTTGTATACAAATTATTGTGAGATGTTGTTGTTATTGTTTTTGCAGTTGTTGTTGCTTTAAGCTTTTATGCATTGCAGTGCATTCCACATGTTTGTTGTAGCTGCTGGTGTTTTGTTGGCCATGTACATATACTGTAAAACGTTTTAAATATAGACGTTAATTTTCCTTTTGATGAGTTCAGTTGTAGTTGGTGATTATTTCAAAATTGATTTTGTTGGGTCTGCAGTAAATAAATTATCCCCTAGTCCTCCCCATGGGTTACCCACTGTTCTGTGAAGCGTGCCATATATGTATGTAGCAGGAAAAGTGAAAATGCGGCCCTTCGTTTTTTGTTTTCGAGCGGGTGGAACTTAATTGGTGATGCTTGGACTCCTTCTTAGCTGTGCGTCTTAATAATTATATTAACGTGTTCAGACCACCCGTTCGGCAGCCGTTCCCCACCTCCCACTTCCTCCCCGAGCCCAGCACTTTGTTGACCCATATTCCGGCGATTTTGTTTTGCTGTTAATTAATATTTGTAATTCTCGTGTTTTGCTTTGGCTTCGAGACCGTGTGCTGTTCGCTGGTCTGTGATAAGCCACGATTGGGTTGATTTTCAAAACAAATTAACAGTTTAGTCGCTTGACAGAACCTAATGAAGGTTTGTTCGAAAAATCGAATATTAGAAATTTGATAGATGGAATGTTTGCCCACCCTTTAGAATTTTGAAAAAGGTATATTCTTTAGCCTTATCAAAGAAGCGTATGTTAATACCTTAAAAATAAACATTATCAATTAAAAACGTTGCCGTTTACCATATAAAGTATATATGTATGTACTTATATTATTGATCACGACCAATAGCCGAGTTGAACTGGCCATGTCCATCTGTCCGTATGAAAGCCTTGATCTCAGGAACTACTAAACCTAGAATGTTGGAAGCATGCAGCTTCCAGAGACATAGACGCAGCGCAAGTTTGTTCCCAAATGGCGCGCACACACCGCCCAAAACTGCCACGCCCACACTTTTGTGATATTTTTCTTTTTTTGTCTTATAAATTGCTATAAATTTTCCAAAAACCTTTTTGCCACGCCCACTCCAACTCCCACAAACCATTTATTATTTTATTTTTATTATTTTTTCCCGAATTTCTACCTATATTCCAGAAAATGTTGAAATATCTCTTTCGCATTTCCACTAGCTGGGTAACGGGTATCTGATAGTCGAGGAACTCGACTATAGCATTCTCTCTTGTTCTTTTTGTGATGGAACGGAAAAAATGTTCCCAAAACATATCCTCTGTACTTCCTCGCACTAGACTCATATTTCTCTTTTGGTGTTTTATTGCCGTAGATCTCCGCTCGACTGTTCTCCAAGTCCCGGGCATTGATCACTTCCCCGCAGGCTTAAATACGCTGGCCTTGGATTAGACAGCGTCCAGATGTCGTCAAGTAACGGTGGTCTTAGCAATGCCACCAATGGCCGCAGCGGCAGCACCGGCAGCGCCAACATTAACCTTAATCTGAAGGGGCCCGAAAGGTCCATAGGAGGGGCTCCTGGGGCTGGGGCATCAAGTGCCACGACCACGTCAATTACTCACAAAACACTGCCAGACCTGAAGACGCAGAGGAGCAATAGCGCCTGCCACGCCCACGAGTCGCTGACCGCTCTTCGCCGTATCGCTCTGCCGGAAAAGCCGCCCGAAAAGTTGCTCAGCTATGGCGCAGCCCAAAGCCGGATCCAGGGCCAAGAGGCTAGGGAAGATTTCCTTGTATACAGCGAAGGACGAGTGCACTCAGGTCCGCTGCAATCGCTTATTACCCACATGGTCCCCACCCACGAATACTATCCAGATGAAGGATTTACTTTCGCTTTCCTTCTCAGCGCCAGGCTTTTTGTGCGCCCCCACGAGCTATTGGCGCAGATCTCACAGACCTGGGAGCATCAGCAGCAGGAGGTGGGCACTGGCGGAGATGTAGTGGATGATGCCAGTCAGGTGCCCGGTCGCACAAAGATGTTAAGCATCAACTCCGCTTCACCGCTTACGCAGCGAAAAGGAAATGCAGCGGCCGCCGCACACAGTTCGGAGCTAGAACCGCGTCTTCAACTGCGGACGAACACTCAGCGATCTGCTCAACACTGCATCAGACTCCTGTCAGAATGGATAGAGATTTTCCCTTACGATTTTAGAGATGAACGGCTTATGCAGCAAGTACGCATCCTGGCGAGGAAGTGCGTCTACATTGATAATTCACTGGGAAAGCAAGTATCGCGAATCTTGCAGCTGCTTGTGTCTCGGCTTACTACGCTAGAGCAGTATGAGGAGTTTCTGCAGACGCTCAGCTCCGAGGAGGCACAGAGTCAGCAACAGCAGCACCACCACCACGGACAACACAATCACTTGCACAATGCCCTTCAGACCTTTTTGGGAAGCTCTTCACATGCCAATGGAGCAAGTGGCGGCGGCGGATCTGCCAGCGGCACCTCTAATTCATCCTCTAGTGGACACACCTCATCTGCCTCCACATCTAACTCGATCTCCACAACACCCCAACCGGACGAAGTGTTTGGCATTATGGACATGTGCCCAAGCTGTGCACACTTGGCCCACCAGCTTACGGCCATCGAGCTGGAGCGCTTGTCGCACATTGGCCCAGAGGAATTTGTTCAGGCCTTTGCAAAGGATTATCAGCAGCAGGACAAGGATGGAAGCAAGGAGGCCAACAAAAGCAAGGGTAGTGGAAGCGGAGTTGGTTCGTTGAACGACATGAAAAAGACTCGCAACCTGGAATCGTATGTGCAGTGGTTCAATCGGCTCAGCTATTTGACGGCAAGCGAGATTGTCAAGGTTGGTAAACAGTAAAATATTCATCAACGGATCAGCAGAATATATTATTTACTTTCTATTCAATGTGTGCCTTTTAGTACCCTAAGAAGAAACAGCGTGTGCGCATCATAGAGTATTGGATAGAAACAGCTCGCGAGTGCTT